GAGGCCAGAAGTCCCAGATTAGGAAATCATCATCGTGACTTCTGAATGCAGCAGAAGACACGCTCCATGCTCCTCTCCTAGCTTGTGGTGCTTTGCAGGCACGTTTGGCATTCCTTGGCGTCTAGATTTCCCCCTTTGTCTTTACAGGATATTTTCCTTGTGGGCGTATCTCTGTGTCCAGATTTCCTACTTTTTTTTTTGGTACTGGGGATTGAACTTGGGACCTTGCGCTTGCGAGGCAGGCAGCAGAAACACTGAGCTTAATCCCTGGCCCCCAGTGTCCGATTTATTAAAAGTAGGACATTTGGGCCAGGCACGGAGCTCAGTGGCACTGCGGCTGCCTGGCAAGTGCAAGGTCCCAAGTTTGATTCCCAGTACTGAAAAAAATATATGAATGAAGGGACACCAGCTGTCTGGATTCCAGCCCACCCTCATGCCCACATTTTAACTAATTACATCTGCTCAACCTATTTCCAAGCAAGGTCACATTCAGAGATAGTGGAGATTTAAAAGTCATAGGAATTTAAAGTAGGACTTAAAATTTTGGAGTGAGGGTACCATGCAGCATTCATTATAAGTCAACACAATAAAAATTCATAGGGTTTATGAATTTGGGGGTTGGGGCCACAATTCAACACCTTACGGCTTGGTACACATCGTCTGCTCTCACACGGTCCCTCTGAGACACAGGGCATCCACTGCTCTGCCCCCTGCCAGAATGATGCTCGTCCTCACAGATTGACTCTTCCCATCTGCCCAGCCCAGAGCATGAGTGTGTTCTGTGGAGAAGGCCAGGGTTTAGCAGAGGCCTCTCATGTTACAGAGCTGAAACCAAGTCAGTCAAGCTTCTTCTGACAGACTCAGGAGCACCCCAGAAAGGCAGAGGGTTCCTGTGTTCAGAGGTTTTTACAGCAAGAGGACAGCTCCTGGCCCTGGTAACAGCCTGTAACCCCAACCTACCCGGAGTCACACTATGCAACACAGTCCTTGTCTTCTAGGGCTGGCTAGGAATCTCCAAGTCAAATGTCTAGCCCAGCCCACACGCCTCAGCCCCACACCTTGGTCATTCTTTAAGCTTTGTACTTCTGTTTGGTTCTGCCGTGTTCTTCCTGGTGCAATAAAACTCCTATAAGTAAGGTCCAAGATACGATTTTATCTCTAAATCCCCACAGCTCCCGTTGGTTAAAGTTGCTCCCAAGAAGAAAGCAATCAAATAGCACTTTTTTAAAGGGAAGAGGGTGACATCATCATCCGCCAGGAAGCTCAAGCTGGACTCCTGGCTGCAGAGTGGAGGCGTGGGAGCAATAAAAGATTTCCCACAGTTACCGTTGACCTCAAGTTCTGGGACTCTGAGAAGGTGGCAATTCTGTTCTTCCCTGGTGCTCAATGACTATGGTACTTAAAGGTTCAGCAGTGGGAAACCCAGAATTGCCAAAGCAGCATCCAGACAAGGTAAAGGCTTGCAGTTGGACTATGAGAGAGGTGTGGTGTGCTGCTGTGGCATTCTCTCCCACACGCATCATATATGACACAAGGCCCTGGATCACACATGGTGATCCCTGGTACCGGAGGGAGCAGAAATCTCAACATCAGGCAGGACACAGTGTGAGTCTGCATTTTGAGCACCCTCCCATCGGACTGAGCCTAAAACGATGCACCCCCAAGCCCACTGCCCACTTATGCCATCTCCAGGCAGGGTCGCAGCAGGGAGACTGGCTGTCCCAGGACCTTCACGTGACCATCTCACTTAGAGAGTCATAGCTATGCTGTAGCATTCCTGTGGCCTTTGGAATATGTACTTGGGGGGTGTGTCTGCTTCCCTTACATTTCCTCTTAAAGACGGCTTCTGTCACTTGTGGCAGTCATTTCTGTTCCTGTCTCCATGCTTGTAATCCAGATGGCCAAGCACAGGCCAGGCAGTTGCTGGATGGCACCGGGAACATGTTTAGTGATTTCATCAGGCTTCACACCTGGGTTCCCAGGGGACTTGTGTCTTGGACGCTCAGGACTGAAAGCCACATTAGACTTGGGGAGAGAAGAGGGGCTCAGTAGTTCCATTCTTCCTGCAGATAGCTTCAGAGGTGTGGGGTCTTTGTACATCGTCTTCAGCCAGCTCCCCATCTCACTGCAGAGATAGACGACTATGCCCGGAGGTTGCACAGACAATGCCTGCCTGGATGTCCATGGCTTTGCTTTGGTCACTCTCATTTGTTCAGGGCAAATGCAGAGTGGACACTAACAGAAAGCCGCATCCCAACAGTGACCTCTGATGTATGCGACAGTCTGAAATGTTGCCACTTTCATCTCTGCCAGGAGTTGTAAAATTAGGAAGTTCATCCAGCCTTGTGCTTGGTTGGTAATAACAGACTCTGTTCACGGTGAAGTAATCGAGAACGGCAGCCCTGGCCAGAGTAAATGGGTAGGGTGCTTGCCCGGACACCCTGGAGTCTGCAGTCAGGTGCTGACCTTCCAGATCCCCAGGCCCATTTGGGCCAGCTGCAGCTGGTGCCAGGAGGACCTTACCTCATGTGGATCTCTGTTGTAACTTTGGCTTTGTCTTATTTTTATTCTTTCCCAGTTTCCATATTCACTTATTTACATATTAAATATACCTTTCTATGTTTTACAAGCACTCATTTTCACTGTAGAAAAATTAGAAAATGTAGGTGAGCAGAAAAAAGTTTTTTTTTTATTTAACATGCCACCACCTGGAGAAAACTATGGTCTGTGAACACATTCTGTGATAATTCATTCCAAGTTTTTTAATGCACGTATTTTTAAACTTGTACTTTTCACTTACTGATATTTAAGAATAGCATTTATACCTATAAAATTCATTAATATTAGATGTCTGGACAAAAGAATCGGTTTATTCAACCAGGCACATGTCATTGTCCATTTAGCTGGTTTCCAACTTTTCACTTTTGGAAGTAATGTTACATTGAATGCCTTCATATTTGTATTCTCAGTTGTTTGTTACAGTAAATGCCTAAGAGGGGACTGGTTGGATCGAAATAATAAGTATATATTATTTTAAACTTTGTATTATGAAACCTTTAAAAATATATACAATTTAGACAAATACTACATTGAACTCTCACGTACCCACTTAAGAATGATCAACTCCTGGCCTTTTTTCCCCTCCCCATCTATTTTCACGCCCACAATTTCTGCATTACTTAGAGACAGATCCAATACATTGTGCCAGAAAGGCTCAGTTTTGAATTTGCCCTGTTCCACCCCTGGGGCAATCACTAGCTATTTGAAAATGGAAAAAGAAAAAAAATTAGTAGAAAAAAGCTTGTCAGGATTAACCAATGTGGTGTTTAGGACGTTCCCATTTTCCTGTTGCTTGGGACTCATCCTTCACTCCTGGATTCCTGTAGCCCCCACTAGCCAAGCCAATCTCTTCTCTGGAAGGGAGAGAGAGAAAAGAGATTGGTACCGGGGATCAAACTCGGGCCCTTGAACTTGAGAGGCAGGCGGCGGAACCACTAAGCCAAATCCCCAACCCAAGCATATATTTTTCAAAGCTGTTTAGTATTGATATTGATCAAATTTATACTTCTGCAAGCATCATACAGGAGCACTCACACTTCTTGTCAAATCTTTGCGCTTCTTCTCTCCCTCCCTCTCTGTATCTTCCCTTTTTCTTTCCTTCCCTCCCCTTTCTTCCTTCTTCCTTCTGCCCTTCCTCCCTCTGTTTTTCTTTTTTTTTTTGGTCCTAGGGATCCAACTCAGGACCTTGTGTTTGTGAGGCAGGCAGTGGCACCACTGAGCTAACGCCTGGACCGCTTTTCTTGTTTCTTAACCTTTGATAATATTCTGGAACTCATCTTCAAAAAAAAAAAAAAAAAG